ATACATGTTTATGTAAAATCATTCAAAGTGATATGAGAAGTGAACTACATGATTATATGATCATATGAGAATGAGATAAAGAGCCATGTGATATATGACATGAGTTATATGAAAGAGAAAGTATATGTGATAAGTGAAAGTGAATCGTATGATTATATGAAGATGTGAAACGATATAAAGATAATGCTCATGTTATGTGTTATGAGATCTAGAGATATAGTTGGCATGCCAAGAGTCGAGGGTCTATGCGGTCCTTTGGGACATAGTGGTCCTACGAGACATTTCATAGTGGTCCTACGGGACATTTCATAGTGGTCCTTCGGGATAAATTTCATAGCCCCTAGTGGGACCCCATACGAGCTGTGGTGACAGCATAGTGCACAACCTCAATAGACTCACATATCTATAGTTCTCAAAAGTGTACATGGGCTAAACAAAGAGATAAAAATGAAGATAGTCCTTGTGAAGTATATGCTTTTTTGATATGAACTGTATTATATGATTGATATGATGATGTGTGTATGGTTTGAATGAGTCATATGTTGATAAAAAAAGTATGATTAAAGTATATAAATGATAATAATATGGATAATAGAATAAGATTATGATGGAAATAATGTGTGATGTGTATATGTGTACATTATATTATATAGAATGATTGTGTGACATCATGAAGTGATATGTTCATACATGTTTAAGCATTTAGAGTTTCCTTTGTAAGTTTAATGCCTCACTAAGTCATAGACTTAGTGTGTGATTGTTTCACACGTAGGTTATAGAAGCGAGAAGAAAAGCGAAGAAGAGCAAGACATGTCAGCATCTCCCTTACAAAATTTCAGATCATAAAATAGATGATTTAAATGTGTTTGGTTATTTGGATTATAGTTTGCATATACTAATTAATTGAGTTGAATATGCTCTGATCGATTTTGTTTATTTTGGTCAATTTATGTAAATAAATTGCTTTTATTTTTAATGAAAGTTTTAAATTTTCTTTGAATTTAGTCAAGAGTCAAAGTTTGAAAAGTTAATGTGACACCTTAGACTCGTATTCGGGTCAGGTACGGGTTCAGGGTGTTACATAGACACATAAAAAGTGGGAATAATTTTTGGTATTTTAGGTCCTTACCAATTAAAATTTAAACTAAATTAGATTTTTTTCAATGTTTGAGATTAAACATTTGTTGAATCTTTATCAATGGCTGGAACACAATGGAGGCTAGCGGGGGTCACGGCTCTCCAAAAATTTTAAAAATTATAATTTAAACCTGTAAAGTTTTTAAAATATTTAATTTGGTCCTCACAAAAATTTTAAAAATTCATATTAGTCTTTCAATTTTTTTTTTGAATATTCTTAATTAAACTCTTCCCATAATTTTTAAAAATTAACATTAAGCCTTTCAAAAAATTTACTTAGACCCCAATTTTTTAAAAAAGAATTTAAACTGAACCCTTCAAATTTTTTAAAATTTAAATTTAAATCTTTAATATTTTTAAAAAAAAATAGGTTAGCCCCCAAACTCTATTACCAAATTCTATCTCTAATCTTTATTATTTTAAATTTAGATAATTTATCCTTTCTAATTTTTTATCCTAACTCTTTTCCTAATTGATACAAGTTGAAAAGTGATGCATAGAAGAGATTTAACAACTCCATGATCAAATAGATTCTTCTTTAAAATAAAAAATGTTTTCATTTCCATTTTCACTTGATTTTTTTTACACAAATTATTCTTGACATGATCCATAACAAAGAGTGGTAACCAATCAAGACATACCACTTGTCAAATATTAGGTAAATTCAACAATATTTTTTATTTAAGAAAAAAAGTTGAATTATATAATTATTTTGCATTAAATTTTAGGATTCTTAGTTCTTGAGGAGTTCACCTCCATATCCATATAAGAAAGTTGCCACTATCTTTCCCTTATTGTAAAGCCAATTCAATTGTAAATCAACACTTTAGGATCTTTTCACCTTTCAATAAGGAAAAAAAACATGAATGTGTGGGTTGGGGAGTTTGTCTCAATTCTTTATCAATAAAATTATGTTTTTCCCTTTTCATGCATGTGCTTTTTTACAAATCAACAATCCAATGAATATATATTTTGCAATGTTATTTGATGGGAAATCATTTCTTTATGAATACGTGTGAATATGATTATAATTAGGGATAGACATCATATTAATTATGTTGGATTAGATCGAATGATGATTTTTCATCTTAAATTTAACTTTACTCGACTTCAGTTCTTTCCTTCATAAAACCTATCTCAAATATAATTTATTTAAAAAATAAATCTTATGATGTCAGGTTGGATCGAAATCCGTCGTAATCAAGTATTTTGATCATCTTTGATTATGATCGACAAGTAAATTAAATTAAATTATGAATGAGTTGATGAAATATTTGTTTAGATTTTTCTTTAATATCAATTTTGAAATTGATCTCTAAACAATCTTTATCACTTATTTATTTATTTTAAAAATGTATTTTTCAAAATTTGAATGGATGGAAAGGATGAGATCAAACAAATTAAAAGAGCAAATAATTGAAAAGAAGAAAGTTTAGTTTGTGGGTCAACTTGGTTGGTGGCGTCAACAACAAAAGTGTCCACCAAGATGATGGAAAAGCCACTCAAAAGAATTATGACAATCGGAAGAATGAAAATAGATGACTGATATTGATTCCTTATTTTTTTACTCATATTTAGAACCATTAGATGAGTAAAAATAAATGGCAGAGATTAACTCATTATTTTGCCCCCAGTAAATATCTTCTCATTTCCTACTATCAATCTCAATCATCTATTTTCACTCATCCAACTGTCCTAAATCTGTGTGAAACTAAAAGAACTTTATATTATATAAGTAGATCCTAACTCACACACATATATATATATAACTAATTTATAATTATACATTAATTTAATTTATTTGAAAATTTTAAAGTACTTAATGTATAATTATATATATAACTAATTTATAATTATATATTAAGTACTTTAACATTTTAAATTTTTATAAATTAAATTAATAGTGCTTAGCGGTACTCTTCAAACATTATAAATCTTTAGTTTACCAAAATTATTAAGATATAATTTTAAAATAATCTTTTAAATTTATAATAATTAAAAAAAAAACTGTACTCTTGGAACGTAAAGGTCAACAATAGCAACGTTAAAAAACAACTTAGAAATTGAGGCCATAAGCTTAGTCAATGTTATGGATTGATTTAAGTTTTAATTAATAATTAAAGTAGATTTTAAAGTGATTTTAGTGATTGAATATTATTTTATAAGAATATGATTTTTTGATGACTAGTTATTGATTTTATAAATATAGTATATTTTTTTGAACAATTCCTACCTACGAGAGGGAAAGGGAAGTTTTGCTCATAATAAGTATCGAACTCAACTTAAGGGACAAAAAATGTATCAACTAGGAGCTTTTAACCATATGGTCTAAAGATTATTGAATTTTAAAAGCATATAGATAAAATTACGAGTTAGATGTAATCTCTATTGATCTCTCTTTGATAGATGAGTTTACAAAATATATCGAGTTTATGAGGTCTAAGAAATTTCTTGTATTTGAACTTGTTATAATATCTATGTTTATAATAGATTCTTTTATCATACGTGGAGACAAACATAATCAAACCATGTTAAGTTTTATGTATTGTGTGCAATTTATTTTATGTTGATCTCACTTTAATTATTTTTCTACTTATAAATTCTTAACAAATAATATCAAAACTTTGATTTGGAACTCATGATAATATAATCACAAGTAGTTGTTCAATTTCAAGGAAATTGTTACTGTGAATTGTACTAGTAAAATTACAGACATGAATGATGAATTTGATGCAATGAATTTTTAGTTGCAAGTGAGTACTTCTCAATTAATCCAACGATGTTTCAATGAATATTTAGTTTACATAAAAATTAGAGTTGTTAAAGACTTGAATGTTAATCTTCTGATGTAACTTTTGTTAGGGTGAAGATCGTTATGTATTGACTCTAATTCTAATTAATAATTAATTTAGATTTTGATATAATTCTGGTTGTCGAAGATTATTTATTGATTAAATTTATTTAAAAGTTCTTATAAAATAAGATTTCATTGTCACCAAGTAATTTAGCTCCATAACTATATAATAGATCTCAACGTTTAAAATCACGAGAGAGATGTTCTTTTTGTGATTTATGTTGAAAAGATGAGTATAGAATTTTGTCAATGTAAAGGATTTCTATATTTGATAAATATAACACTTATAAGTGTAATTGTATGAAGATAAGGAAAGCGAAAGGTTTATACAAGCATGGTTTTAAGAACCGGACCGGTCGTCGTGCTACTGGTTCACTGGTTTAACCAGTCGAACCGGTCAGACTGGTCGTAAGAACCGGACGACGTCATAATTATTTAAAAAATTAAATAAAAATACCAAAAAACATTTAATGAAAAATCAAAAAAATTTAGGTTGAATCGGTTCACAGTCCGGTCCGGTTCGAGCGTTTCAAAGCCGGTTCGAATGGTTCCTTGCGGTTCACTAGAACCGGTTCAACCGGGTTAGAATGGACCGGACCAAGCAGCGGTTCCCGGTTGAACCGACCGGTCCGGTCCGGTTTTCAAAACATTGTATACAAGGTAAAATTGGATTAAAAAGGATTAGATAATCTAATATTTATCTTTGATAGGCAATATATTGGATTTTTAGAATACATCAAATTTTGATAATATATTGGATTATGAAATACATTAAATTTCAAGTATTTGGACTCAATCCGAAATTTGGTTCATTGGCTTCTTACCGAAGAAGAAATTATACTCCTAAATCCACTTAAACTCACAATTAACACAACATTATCGATTCCAACTTGATTTTTTGTTTTTCGTTTTGGTCCCTTTGATTTCCCTTTCTTTACCAGCTCCACAACCTTGTCCAAAGTAAGGTGACAAATACCTAACCATTTGAGGACAAGAGAAGAAGCAGTAATGAAGTTTATGTTTTTATATGTAAGAAACAGAACTGGAATAACGGTAATAACCGCCGACCTACCACAAACAACATTCCTTAAAAGATGAAACATAGGAATTCAATAGACCCTCCAAAAAATAAAACAAGAACATAAACAAAGTAAGAATCGTGAGGGAAATTTGATTATATCATACAGGCAAATCCAGAACAAAACTATGGATGTAGCCACCCAATTTAACCATCCTTTGTTCTTCATGTTCACCTCCTTTGCGCCTCCCTCCGCGCCGTTGCCGCCTCCTCGGCCTTCCCTCCGTTCGATCTTTGTCGTCCCCGGTTCTTCTTTGTTCTCGAATTCGTCTTCATCGGCTATGGCGTTTCTATCATTTTCGAATTCTTCTTCCTCGTTATTATTAGTGTTGTTGTCCTTGTTGTCATTTTCATTGCCGGTTGTTGTTTCTTCTTTATAGTCAATACTCGAAGTGGAATCTTTGAAAATGGAGAGCCGAAGGCGGCCATTGCTTCGTTCAGCTCGGAAGATAGAGTTGTAAGATGGGGCCTTCTCGGCTTTCATTACCAATCTTCCGTTTTCGCGGTGAGGACAAACTCGAATCGATTCCGATCCGCTTATCGTCATCAGCGGAGGCGGGAAATCGCCACCGATAACTTTCTTACATCCTAATGCTCGCCGCGACTCATGTTGTTTTCGTGTTAAACGAGATGAAGAAGACGACGAGAAAATGTCGTCGTCGTCTCCGAGGACATCATCACTACCTGTCTCACTGCCCAAATTCTCAGTGCACAACTCCAAGTTTTTATCACTCGAAGGGCGAACATAAGTATTTTCATTCCCTTCGATCTCTTTCGACGGTCGAGGGCCATCGAACAGAGCTTGGAGTAAATTCCAACCACCCGGTTCAGGACTCGGATTAATGGAAAATGACTTACCGACCAATTCGAGAGACGACGGGGAGAAATGGGGTATCGACGGAGATAACATTAGCCTCAAAGCTCTCGGCTCGACCGTGTGCGACTCGAGACACGACTGTAAGCCTCGGTGGTGGTGGTGGTGGCAAACGATTGTCGCCATAATACAGAGGAGAACACAAACTTGAAAGTGTTGGGAGATGAGGTAATGAAGAGGGGGTGGAGATGTGAATTTGTAGTACTTACAAAGTGACACCACTTGGATTATACAATTGTTAAATCAGCCACAGCACACACACAGGCAAAAGGGAACAAAGAAAATGTAGAAAAACTGAAAAAGGAAGCATATTTATGTGGTAATTGAACTATGTTCAAATAGTAGTTTTGGTTGTTGAAATTTTAAAAATTATAAAATGATCATTTAATTTATTAAATTGTTAAAAATAATAACTGTGATGGTATAATAATTTGAAATTTTGATATCATTTAATTATCAAAAAGTTATATAATTCAAGCATTAAAACGAAATTATACCAAAGCAATGGGACCAAAGACTCCGTTGTTTCATGTATGGTTCATATGTTTCATGAGTCGAACATTAAGTTTATTACATTCAAAAAGGAGGAATAATATTACGTACCATCAGCCCACAGCCTTTGAATTTTCCAGCAACTGAAGTTACAGAAATAGACATGAATTCTTTTTTTTTGTCCTTCCAATTTTTAAGAATGATTAATTCAGATCGACCTGTGTTAAACATCTGACTTTTGTGGATGAATCTCCCAATAGAATATTTTTACATACATAAAGACTAGAATTCAAAACTTGTCGGTAATATACATGAATTCTAGCGGACCAAAACAACACTTCTTCATCCTAAACCACCACCCTCCTTATCCCCAGCACACATACACGGTGAAGGGCAATTTTGTCAAATCATTAAGGTTTAAGATCCTTAGAAGGTGTTTGGACCGACAGCCTCCTACCCCACTATGGAAATATAAATACATGGCAAATCCAAATGTCCCACAAGGCAAAGTTTTTCAAATATAGGTCATGTTCACATCTTTTCACAATTGCCATTCAAAGAATATACTTGTATACAGTTATTTTAGATAGGTATGTTTTTATTAGGTAAAATAGATAATTAATTAAAAAAATATAGACACTGATATTATAATTATTTTTAAATATTTAAAGAATAATTATATTATTAACTTGAGTCAAGTCGAATTAGACCAGATCATGTATTTTTCATTTTGAATCCAAACCTAATTTGTCTGGGTCTCATCTTAAAAAAAACTAAATCAAACCCAATTGGATCCCAATTCTTTATTAAAAATAAAATCTTATAAAATTAGATTCGAGTCAAATATGTATTCCTAATTACCATTATACCTAACATAAATGTAGAATCTCTCCCTCTTGATTTATAAAAGTCGCCAAAACTAATTAACACTAGGCCATGTGAGTGACCTACCCCAAGAATGGTTAAACAAATGGCAATGGCGATTTCACAAGCTCACAAAAATGCTATGTTCAAGGGTCCTCGTCATTTGAGGGGTTATAAATTACAATATTACGAGATTTCCGAATCAAATTCAAATAAGATTCAGATCACAAATTCTAATACATACTTCATATTTTGTGATTGTGACCATCATCACCACTATTTACCCAATCCACTGTATAATAAGTTTCACATGTTACCTTTTAGTGATTACACATGCATGAACAAACACATGTTTTGTACCCACATTTATATTATTGTCCCTTTTTCATTGGTCTTAGATCATATAATTAAACTAAATTTCGAGTCGAGACGAGTGATATTTTTTTCGGAATATATTTTACCCAGAGTCAAGGATGAGAAATTCTGGCTAATTTTTTGGTCAAGTTATATGTTTCTGACTTTCCAAAGAGACGCAGTAAATGTGTCATTTTCCATGGTTAAAAGCAGATAATACCTATAAATATGGCACTGATAATTAAATCAACAAGAGCTCACCAGTGAGGTGACTTCTTCTAACATATTTGCGTCTCTTTTTGTTTTAATGCACTAAAAGTAAGAAATCTTATCCACTCAGGTGAGGAAATTATTAAAGGGAAAAACATGCAAGGAGAGAATTCAATTTAAAATTTTAAGGATGATATTATTGAAAAATCAGATGAACTTTAAGAAGATTAAATTGTAATTTCATCATTGTTTCAATTTAAAACTATATATTTTAAATAAAATTGAATCGAAGTATATCATGTTTCAGAAGTTGAAAAATAATTTTATCTTCATCTTAAAACTTCACATTTTAAAAGGATTAAAGAGGAAATTTTACCGTTTTGGGGGACATGACCTCTATCTGGAGACAATGATAAAACTGCATGGGATAGATATAAATAAAAGAGATAATGTCAAAATTAGCCTCTAATAACGTTTTTCAAAATAATTGTTTTGCTTCGTATTCAATTTTTTTTTGAAGTATGTTAGCCCCTAACATTTCATTTTAGAGTAAAAAAACCTTTAAAATTTAATAAAATAATCACTCTGTCTCTTTTTTGTGTGTATGGATATTTTAACCCTCAACATTTCAATTTATGTTAAAAAAGCATAATAAAATACTTTCCTACCTAATAAAAAAACAGAATATAGAAAATTAAATGTGTCTACTCATCCACATCTTTTGGGTTGATGATTATGGAATCCATGGAAGGCAACCTTCCATACATTATGTACCTATGTGGTCCTTTACAATTCTTGCCTCCCTTATATTCTAAAAAAAAAAGTGAAACAAATTTTATAAAAGAGATAGTCAAGTTTATAGCAGAGCAGAACGACTTTTGTGAATGGACAAAAAATCAGAATTAGGGTGAAATTAAATTAAAGATAAAAAATCGTATGATTTTTATTACATTTCCTGTAAAAAATTATTGTTTTTAACATTAAATTAAACTGTCACTCTTTAAACTTTTTTTTATTAAGTAAAATGCTAAAAAGTCATGAATTATGCAATTTTAATAATAATTAATAAAAAGTTAATAATAAGCACGTCAACCTTTATTCCACTTTAATCATTTTCTTAAGTATATGGTTAAAATATTTACATTACACCTTTAAATTTTTGGAAATTTTAATTAGTCTCTTTAATATCTTTAAAAGTTGTCATTAAATTTCAATTTTTATATATTTGTAACTAAATCTTCCAAAATTATTAGGAATTCGTATGAAATTTCATTTTTTTTAAAAAATATTTTTAACTAAAACCCCTAGAATTTTAAAAACTTCCAATTAGCCTCTCAAATATTTTAAAATTTTTAATTGATAGCTTTTAAAATAAATCTTATTAAATCCCTCGAAACTTTTGAAAACCTTAATCAGACCTTAAAAAACGATTAAATTCCCTCAAATTATTCCCTCAAGATTCGCCATAAGATACAAATTACACAATAAAATCTTATTTTTATGACTTTGTTTAATTAAAATATAATCACGTCACTAAAAGAAATAGTAAAGTTTATTATTTTAAGGGTAAATTATAAATTTATTCTCTAAACTTTAAATATTTTTAATTTACTCACCGAATTTTATAAATTAACTTTTTTTTATCACTCAACCGTTAATTTTTTAACACCATTATGAAATGGCTTAATTAATCTTTTTAATCGTTACATGTCAGAAAAAGGAAAGGAAAAAAAAGTCTCTTTTCCATAAAAAAAAAACCGCAGACAATTGGGCTTATGAAAATTGAGATAAGGAAAGGGAGGAGTTTGACTTCTTAGGGCGGAGGAGAAGCGTTGTTTGAGGTGGTGGGTTGATGTCGTCCTGAGAAGTAGCTCGTGTAGGGGAAAGGAAAAGGGTTTCTTAGTTTGGGAAGTAGATGGTGAAGGTATTTTAGAGGTGGGTTTAAAGCGAAAATGGAGGGAAGGGCAAGAATGGAGTGAGAAAAGAGTGATGGTGGAGGTGGAGAAGTAGTGAAGAGCTAAACTTTTCATTGTTTGGATGCCGAGAAAATCAACAGAGAAAATGAAGAGAAACAAAGGTGAATAATAAATGAGTGGTGGAGAATAAAATGAAGAGACAAAATATTAGGGTAATCGAGTAGTGTGGGTCACATCTCTAGGGTATTATTTCTGTCTTCTTTTAATGCTTTTATAGTAATTTTCATAAATTCTATTTTTTATACGTTTCTGTTATTGATATTTATGAAGGCTTAGAACTGGACTTGCTATCGTGGACTTCTGTGTAATATTCTCTTCACTTTTAAATTTAGTCGGGTCTTACGTTTCTTTCTATATGCAGATATTTTTTCGCATGAATTTATTTACAGGGATTACTTCCCATTTCAAACGCGCATATAATATTAATGATATTTATGACTGCATATGAATATTGTTCAACTATGTATTTATGTATTTATTTATACATGCTTTGCATTTTATCTATATTTTTAATTTTCTAACTGCCGGAGATCTTCCACGGAAGCTACTCTCAACCTGACGTTGAGGGCAGCCTACTACCCTACCTCTCCCTTACCCCATTACATATGGGATTGGGTTTTGTTGTTGTTGTTGTATTGATAATATATAAAAATATTAAAAATATCATGTCATCACATAATTAAAAGGAAAACGGTTAAGTGATAAAAAAATATTAATGTATAAAGTTCGGTAAGTAAATTAAAATAATTTAAAAATTCAATAAGAGAAATAGAAGAGATAGTAAAATTTAGTGGGTAAATTTGTAATTTACCCTTATTTTAATCATTAGTTTATTTGCTTTCATTTTAATAAAAGCAACGTGGGCCAGTACCCAAGAGTACGTCATGTCTCCTTGGCATCAAGTGGGAGCCTAAAGTTGATGAAATATATATTTGCCCTAACCCTAATTATTATACTAATGACCTTTAAAGAAAGACGAGAATCCAATTCACAGCTGAAGTAAGCACGTACAAAGCACCTTGCTTAAGCTTTTTGGACAGCCATCAACACTTATTTTAATCAATTTTTAAAACTAAAACAAAGGACATATAGGAACAAGACAGGCAGAGAAAACGTAGTTAATCCATGCAAAGATGTTATAAAACCAGTGGTCGGTTCATCACTAACTGCAAATAAATTAATGCAGCCCATTAAACTACCTTTTGCATTATATATGAACATGAACATCACACTCCAAAGTTAGCTTTACAGACAGTGTCAAAGAACTTTTGGGCCTACT